CACAACATACTGTAATATCTCAACCTCTAACCCAAACAAACACACAAATACAACTTACCGAGCAAACAAGTACAACAAATGATACAATATATAGGTACTACAATCAGAGATTCACCTCTGAAGCAAACCACATTATCACGACCCATTAGTATTCAACCCAAACGCAAAAGCCTAAACAGCACTTTAGACTCACAACATGACACACAACATACTGTAATATTTCCAAACTTAACTCAACCAACCACACAAACACAACTTCCTGAACAAACAAACGCAATAAATACAAGTAACGCAACATGCACTACAAAGACGCGCCCTCACCCAATAAAGTTACACGGCCTAGCACAGCTAAAAAACACAATACTCTTTCTTCTCAGAAACACACCACGTTATCACACCCAAACGCAACAACCTTAACAGCACTACAGGCTCACAAAATACTGTAACGTCTCCACCAATAACCCAAGCAACCACACAAATACAACCTCAAGAACAAAGAAACACAAGAAATACAAGTAACGCAACATGCACTACAAAGACGCCCTCACCCAATAAAGTTACACGCCCTAGCACAGTTAAAAAACATAAAACTCATTCTTCACAGAAACACACCACGTTATCACAACCCACTCGTATACAACCCAAACGCAAAAACCTAAACAGCACTACTAGCTCACAAAATACAGTAATACCTCCACCAATAACCCAAGCAATAACACAAATACAACCTCAAGAACAAAGAAACACCATAAATACAAGTAAGGCAACATGTACCACAAAGACAGGTCCACCCAATAAAGTTACACGTCCTAGCACAGTTAAAAAACACAAAACTCCATCCTCACCGAAGAACACCACGTTATCACAACCCACTCGTATTCAACCCAAACGCAAAGCCAAAGAAACACTTACACAATAAACTCCATTTAATAAAATTACAGGAATTATTATAATGATTTTTGTTTTGTTTTGTTTTCCTCTTTCCTGATAGCGTTGGCTTATTGTGCCCATGTGTGATTTTTTTTTTTTTTTAGGACCCTACATAACTTCACCAGACACAGACACAGACACTGATCGTTACTTGATTTTAATCCGTGCGATTAGTTAACCAGGCTAGACCTGAGTTCTCACAAGAAACACCGACCATAATAATAATAATAATAAAACGTAACCATCAAATTCTCATACATGCATATGATAGACAGAGTAAATTCTTCTAATATGAGCATAAAAAAACAAAAAAAATTATATTTTGAAATTATTAACTTTGAAATTTGTCTGGAAATACTTACTATTGTTTATCAAAAAGTTCATTTTTTAGCATATTCTTGAATAAGTTTGGAGATAAACTTTTAATCGCTATACTATTACCACTACTATTACAAGTGAGTGACATGGTGATAGGTTATAACTTGAAGATATATCTTTATAAGCTCTAGAGATGCCCCTAGTTCTTGAATGCTGGGCACGTAAGTAGGTTTTCCCTTTGATAGAACAGCTCTGGTGTTCGTCATTTGTTGCCATTTTCTGTGTTAGTTACTAAATCATCGTCGCCAGCCGATGTCATCTGTAACGAGTGGATAGCAAAGGATAATTTATACATGTACCGCTTCATAGCGAACGTAAACGAAAGTATGTCTGGCGAAAACGCCATAAAACATATAGCGGAAGGCGAGCGCGGTTGTCGCGATCTCTTCGGACCTATAAGTTTCGTTTCGTTTTGCAAAAAGCTAAGCACGTGACGGAAATGCGGGTTTCCTATTCGTTTAAAAAGGTACGCGTTTCGGTTAAAAAATAGGTTCTGTTTCAGAGCGAGATTACAATAGCGAGAGGGGGAAAAAGTCTAAGCTGGGTTTTGGGAGCAATCACGTACAAGCTGTTTGTGCGTTTTTTTTTATTGTGGAAAATTCAGTCTAAGTAAAATTGGTTGGCTGACTAACAAAAGCCAGGTCCGTTTCCGGTTCTTTTAATTTTGTTTTTTGTCTGCTGAACATTGTCAGCTGATTGATAACCGTTGATGTCCGTGCGCTACGAGACTCAAAATAATTCCCTGTGATTACAAGTTATAGATATGCAACATAAGAAAGTGCCAACTATTTTTTCTTGTCGCTTAATTGTTGCGGGTTATCAATCTTTCTGTTGAAACTTAACGCTATTATAAATGTTAAACTTAATGGTTCAACAAAATTCTAACTGGAAATCCGTTGTCATCCTACTATCATTAAAATACGAAACAATTCTCACAAATTATAAGTTGGAAACATTAATTTCTTAATTAACAACTCTAACCTCATAAGTTATTGTTCATCTGTTACTTGGTAAAGCAAAAAGATGAGCGCGAAGGCATTCAGAATATAATTAACTACAGTACTTTTGACAAGTATACGGTTGAGATTATACGCCAGACGTTAAGGACAAAAATTTAAATAAGCAATTAGACACTTGTCAACTATCACTAAATGGATTTGCAAGTTTTAGTTACGCAACAATTTTTTTCACTCCATTTACATGTTATTGTAAGCAAAATGCGCAACTACCGAAGGGAAATAATTTGAATAATTTTGACTATGTGCCAGCGTTATTGAAATGCACGTCTAGTAGAATTAATTTACCTTTTAAATGAGGGATATCAAACTTACTAATTGACTATACAGGCAATCGCACTTCAAGATAGTTTCTGTACCATTTATTGATGAGTTCTGTTAATTGTGTTTCATTCCACTTCATCCGCAAATTGTTTAACCTTTAACAAAACGCAATCTGTGTAAAAATCACGTACTGACATGGCGCTATTAATTTAACGTTGTTGCGGTTTCAAATAAGGCAAACAAATTTTTTTTACACAAACCGGACGAGGACACAAAAAGAGTAGTGGAAGGACGACGCACTTCTAAATTATTTACGCTAGTTTTCGTACAATGGGAAAAGAAACTTTAATAATGCTGTTTTATTATTTAAATTACGTTTCCGCAAATGTTGATTATTTTACTTGTTTATATTCAATTGGGAGGGTTTCCGTCCTGGTTTATTAATTATCGGAGTGGGAAAATTCGACGTATTTTGTTGCGATAAGGAAGCATTATCAGCCTTGTGACTAAGGAAGCTTGGTAAATGTATAAACTAGTTCATGATATTCTCGCGTATTTTTATGTGTTTTTTAATAATGATCTGAAAACCAAGTCGCAGAATTTTATGCGTAAGAAATGTTATCGCCCAAGCAAAACAAAGGAAATGCTAATTAGAGGACCCCTTCTCGTATATGCCAAGATACAGGAGCTGTAGTCCGCACGTGATGCACATTTGTACAGTGAAGCTGTATAAACTGCGGTTACTTAGCTTTAGTAACGTTTAATATCTTGATCCTCACTGCTATTGCGAGTAGTGAATGGTCTGCATCTAGTGTAATGCCCCTGCTGTTATAAGCATTTAAGTCCCCAGCTATCATCACCCATTTTTACTTGCACTTGCGCAGCAGCTCCCACTCATTAGGACATTCTCGTTGGGCATCGATATACAAAGGACGGATCCTGCCTAGATTTGTGTCCAAACAGGCGGCCTACAAGAGCCGTAAATTGTTTTAGAAGTAACTTTTTTGCGCTCTCTTCAGGCACGTATCATATCTTCATTCTTCATATCTATCTCCTATTAACCCACCTTTTTAGCTTTCCCTCCGTAGTTGCTTCCATTTCGACTGCTTGATCTTGCTTCATCTTTTCTTTGTCTGTTGGTTCCTTCACGCCTTCTAATTTTTGTTTTTCAATTCTTTGTGCCTTCTTCACTACCTTGTCAGATCTCCTATACAACTTTTTCATGGTTTTTTCCTCCACACTTACTTTTTTTTATACTTTACCTTACGCTTCCTTTTTTCTCATTCCTGTCCTGTAACTTTTTTTTTGTCACACTTCCCTCGCATCTCCTCCTACGCACCTCTTTTCTTCACCCTTCTGTTTCAATTCACACACACACTGTGCCCGATGTTCACCCAAGCAAAAATTACACAAGGTAAATTTGGTCGGTTCTTGGCGTTTCGAATTTCCTTTCTCCTTTGGTGGTTTGGTGGCTTCTTTGACCAAATTTTCTTGTGTCGGCATGCTGAGGGTTTGTTGGAGTCCTGTTAACAGCTTGGCCGCCGGTACTGATCCACAGAGCTCCAACCGTGGTAGGGTTTTCTTCAACTTCAACGGACACCTTAAATTTTGCCGTTAACCTGGAGGTTAGCAGTTAGCAGCATTTCGTTCTGGCCTTTTCCTGAAGTGGAAGTGGCTCAGGCGTCGAACACCACTCGTAATGTTGCGTTCTTCTATTACCACCACATGACGCGGAATGTAGTATTTTGCAAGTGCCTCCCCTGCATTTCATACTCTCCCAAGAAAACCTTGTACCTGGATACCATCAGGAGAAAGCGGGCGGTTGCCTTTTCCAATTCTCGGAGGTTTTGTATGGGCGCTCCATCCTATCTCGCGACATTTGTTTTCCCCGAAACAATCCAATCTGAACGTTGCCAGGTTGAACCACCACGTGATCAGGTTTTCCATCTCCATACTTGCTATTTCGTGCACTTGAAATCACCAAAATGTAGCACTTGAACGTGGTAACGCGACACCAATTTGTTGAAAGGCTAGAAGGACCAAATGTAGCATCTGGCTCGAAGAACCAACTGTATCTTCTCGAAGCGAAGAGGCAGGTTTACGAAATTGCGAGTGCCCAGGCTGGATAAGGGAGGGAACTCCTCGACCTATGTTTATTGGACATACATTTGTTCCCATCGGAAACCGGATGCCCCTTGGCTTGCCTTCCCATAGGATGTTGTCTCGTTTGGACTCACCGGCGCTGCCGTTGCCTAATTCACGGGTTTGCCTGTAGAACTTCTTGATGTAATCATGTCCTGACACTTGTGACAGGGCCAAGAGTGGCGTTGGCTAAATGTAGTCCATTGCGCCTATAACTCACTACTTTAGCTGTTGATGGTATCGTCTCTAGCTTCCGAAGGTGTTCGTCGGATCCTTCCAGCTTTCTTCAGATTGGATAAAGACCTCTCCACGTCTTTTGCGAGCTTGAACTACTTCGTGGTCGGCTTTTCCATCTCTATACTTGCAATGTTGTGCATTTAATTTTTAATTCCATCACGATTTCCTTAAACCTCCTAGCTCTTCTTCACGAGTCGTTCAGGGCTCCTTCGCGATGGCCCGCATTTCACATTATTCTCCTGTTATCTTCTTTCGCTTTTTCGTTCCTTTTTTCCTCTACACCTCGTTTTAGCATTTCATTTTACACGCCTTATTAAACACTTCCCATCCTTTATGCCTCTTTAGTCTTAGTCACGCCCCTTCTTTCTTTTTTTCTTCCGCTTCAGACACTATTCACGCTTCCATTGCGCCTTTTTCGTACCTCCTTCTAGACTTCATTGCGCCTACTGTTTGGTCAACTTTATTTTCTGTCTTCACGCTTCGATCAGGTCTTCCGGAATTATGCTGTCTTACTCGAGCTAAAATGAGATAGCTGCCAAGTTTTAATTGAGGCGGCAGAATAATGGTGGCTTTCAATGGGTGTATGTGTTTGATTCACGAGCCTAGGCACATGCGTGTTTTATTTTCCTTTGTAATTATGGCAATTAGCACGGGATGTAGGGTAATTGTTTTGTAGTACTAGTCTGTCCATCTGTTAGGGTGTTTCGCTTTATAAATTTGAATTTGCAAGACCTTATAAAACGTTCTGCAAGGTTTATAAAATAAGCTAAGAGTTGCGAATAAGGGCCGTATTTAGGGGTAATGTGTTCGCATGAATTACGTTTTAAATTACGAATTATGTTGCAATCGTTTTGGGGAATTTCCATTTAGCTTAGCTAATGTTAGCGTACATTCACTACAGCTAAAGGGTGGATTTGATGAGTTATTCAAGGTTCAATGTCGATGTCAGTTGTCGATGGTTAGTAGATAGGGTGTAATCTTTTCGCAGGTGAGGGTAGTTTTCATTTAAGATTTATATAGCGGGTGTTGATACAGTTTAGAGTATCTTGAAGATTTTTGTACGTCTGTACGTAGTGCGTAGGTGGAATTGTTCACGCAGTTGTGTGTAGTATTTTAATATTTTAACAACTTGCAAGAAGGTGACTTTTAAATTCAATTATGATGTTTGTTGTCGGCTTGTGCGATGAGTCGGGATGTTTTCATTTATGTGGGAGCCTAAAATATTTATTGAATATGTTCTTGTACTGCCATAATTCCTTTATTAATTAGTAATTGATGCTGCCTAACACTACACCTTAGGCATTATCGCTATCCTCATCGTTACCACTCCCATTATTATAACGAAACGTTTTTGATACCCGTAAGTGGTAGGAACAATAAGCTATTTCAAATGAAGGAAGTAATTTTCAATGGGATAATTCAAATGAAGGCCGTGTTTCTGCAATTTTCCCCTAAATCGAAGTTCTCGTCTTCGAGCCAATTCATTATTCATGTAAATAGGTGCCTAAATCAATCGCGAGATATAAAACAATGTTTTATTACCTTTCACGTTTAGACGTAGACGACTATTAATGAATGCATAAACCATACAAACCGTTGAGTACCTTTTGTTAATAAAATATTTGACTTTCGAAAAGCTACGGTGTGAATTCTCCTCTAACGGCACGATGGTTCAACTTTTTATGCGAATCCCTTTCCCTTAAATCAATATGAGGCAAATTCTTCGTTACTCTTGCAGTAGCTGCACCTATAACAACCTGCGACAGTTATTTAATAAAAAGCTTCCGAAGAATTTCCCAAAGGAACATTTATGCTGCAGTTTGAAATTTTCGTCGAATTTTTTATTTTTTAAATAAAAGGAACACGTACATACAAATAGGTTGAGTTGCATTAAGTAAGATTAGTTGAAACATGTTTTAAAAGGATCTTCCTTGAAAATCTCAAATAAAA